AGGGACTTGGCCACCGGACGGTCGACCGCCGTACTGTGCGCGGAGTGTCCTGAGTCCGGACGGTTGGCCGCCGTGGCGTGTGGGGAGTGCCCTGGGCCCAATATGGTGACTCTGATTCTGACCCTATCTCTGGCTCTGGCACGGGATCCTAGTGCGACTTCTGGCTTTGTGACTCTGATTCTAATTTTGGGATGCCAGGAGCTATGCCGTCGGGCAGTTGGCCACTATCACACGGAAGCGCCCTGGGTCCATCTGTGATTCTGGCTCTGACTCGGGATACCAAGAACTCAGCCGGCGAACGGTAGGCCCCCGTACTGTGCAAGGAGTGCCCTGGGTCCGGGCGGAGGGTCGCCGTAGCGTACGGGGATTGTCCTGGATCCATCTATGACTGTGCTTGTGTTATATGCTGTGTGTTATATTTGATTCTCTGCCTGATTCCTAACTTCCTGATTATGACTGGGTATATGGAATTGCATGTATTAGTTTAAGCAATGTGACTTTTATAAGCTGTGCTAATTCTTGCATGATACGTGTGTTATGAATGATTTCAATTCTATCTTGTATGCTCAGTTAGTACTATCATTCACTGAGTTATATACTCATTCCTTCTCCTCCCCACCTTTCAGATTTTAGTTTTGATCAGCAGCGGTAGTACCTATGACACTTCCGTCATCGCTGCATCGACCTGATTGTATGGGCACCTTCTGTATATTTATTTTTTGTACTCTAGACGCTCCGTGTACAGTCAGATATATTTTGTTATGTGTATATATGGACAGTTTTTCTGATGAAGAGTGTTATTGGCTTCGATCTAGTCAGAGGCTTACTGGGGTGGTACGCCAATCCCAGTGCCGGTCACGTGCCCGGGTTGGGCGTGACAACGAGATGCATTGTCCTATTTGAAGCCTGTAACCCAATGATCTTGTGAAATGCCATAATCATCTTTCACGTTGATATGGCAACTCTTTTCGATTTGAAGATTTAAAATGAAACATAGCTAGCACAAATGTTAAGATTGTCCATGCAATGTTTCATGGGTGGTTTTTCAAGTATCATTTGCTTATCTGAGACTATATCTAAATTTTTATGTTGGGTTGATGCAGGAGCAAATAGACGAGGCTTGACGATGTGTCAGTCTACTCCTTGAAGGAGGTGGGCTTGAATGCTATAAGTGGTATAATATTCATATATTGCCCAACATGTGACATATATTCTCATATTTATATAGGTTGTAACTGTAATGTAATAATTTGATTTGCAAACTGGATTGTTATTTCAGTTGTCTGTTGGTTGCCAGAAGTTGCTTCTCACAGTTTTTTTACTTGTGTCCTAAAAATTTAAATCAAAAAGCGAGTATGGAACGGTGAGAATGGGGCAGGCATAACTTGAACTTTGGACCATAGCCAGATTAAGGGGCAGTGGACAGAATAGCAAGATTATAGAATTCTTAGACCATGTTTGGATGTATTTTCTGTTTTGTAAAATTGTTTCATAAGACAATTCTTGAAAATACAGTTTGAGAATTATTTTATCTCTTCATGTGGTATATTTTGAAAACGTTATTATTTATATTTCTTTTTAGGAGTTTGCTATTTGTGACCGTTTGTTTATAGGAAGGCCGGCAGGACGAAGAAAGCCAAAAAGAAAGCAATGAATGTCTTTTGGGGGGGGGGGGGGGAGATTCTCTTGGAAATTCATGTTTGATGGAGTGGAAAAATGGATGTAGGTTATGTTGGATTTTTGTTTTTCTGCTTATACTAGCGCTTAATTGCTGTTTCAACTGTCCCAGAGCTACAGGATAACTGCTAAACTAGAGTTCTTGTAAATCCATTTCATGAATTTTAAACAGAATTAGAGGGCACAAGAGGCGGCTAAACTGCTCATCTTAAGCTGTAAATTATTTTAAATAAAACTGAGCAGTCAAGAACCAAAAAAAAAAAATATATATATATATATATTTGAGCGGTCGATTAGCGAAAGCAATAACACTATAATGCTCAAACCAAATTCCGGAATAAATTTAGAAACACTTCCAGCAATTAATGACAAGAGTCTAAAATCGTTGTGCACGGATTTAGAGAGACTATAAAGTGATTCCAAGCTTCAAAGGTGTTTTTATATAAGTTGTTTTTTGAGCTCAGGAATCTTTATACACATATGTAACTTTATATCACGTTTTTTTTTTTTTATCGAACACATTATAATTATAATGTAAAAATGGGATAAATTTGATATATAGAGTATATCAATCAATGTGTATAAGAGCCCTTATTTGGATAATTCCAAATTTATAATAATCTCAAAATTTAAATAATTAAAAATTTGTAAGCATTCATGATCAATGGAGAAATTTGGACAGTTTTTTTCTTTTTTTTTTTGTGGATGAGAAAATGTTTTCTTTCTTACTACCAATGTTCAATTTAAACCAATAGAAATTTGCGGGAGTTCAGTCCTAGAAGAAAAAGAATGAAACAAAGAAAAAAGGAATGAGTTTCACGGTAAGTGTCTTCCGGTCTAGACCGAAAAGACATTGGCCCAAAATTGCGCAATATGGAAAAAGGAGGGCACAAATGTGTCAGGATTCATGCCAATTCCGAAAATGAAGTACGAGTAACTTAATTGGGCCCGGCCTGAAGACCCTCAACAGCCCAAATTAGGGACTAACCTCTAATTTTTTCTAATTTTTTTTTTTCATAATTAGCAATAATAATTCAAGGGTGAAAGGAAAAGTTCTGAGAAATTAACATGGAATTCCTAACATGACAATCCAGACAAGAGAAATCAAATCAAAGTCTTAATTCAATGAATATCGAAAATTAAAATCAAAACTGAACCCTTAATGAACCTTAATATAATGTCATCTTCTATATTTCTGCACATCTATCCTTTTCTAGCCAAGAGTTGCTGCAGAGTTTCGCTTATCCTCTCTTATGAAACTTGCTCCCTCTCCCTCCTCTCTATCAGATAAATACAATTTCCTCAATTTTTGTCCTCTCTTCATCTATCTCTTTATTTTCTCATTTTCTAATTATCTTAAATTATCCTTTTTGCTACAAAATTCTATTGGGCTGCAGACTTGAAATTTCAGCCAACACTTTAATCTACAATTTCTGATTATCAAAAGTATATGCAAACATCACCTTAATTTCTTAGATTCAAAATTTTTTAGAATTAATAAAATTTTAAAAAGAAAATTACATATATGCCCTCAGTAAAATAAAACAATTTTTGCAGCTTATAATGTTATGGAGCAATTATAATACTTTTTATAAGTTTTTTTAATAAAATTGTTATCATAATTCTTTGATAAAATTGAAGGTATTATTTTATTATAGTTTATGTGCATATTATATAGAAATTTTACTCCCAATAATGTAGTTTAACAATTTATTTATATAATACTTGAAAAAAGATCAAAATTTATAATTAAATCATTGTAGTTAAAAAAAGAGGTATCATTCATATTAGACTGCTAATGTTGTGACTTATCATTTATTTTGATTGAAAAATTCAAATTTCATGTCACAAACTGTTAGATATATATATCTTTATTATAAAATATGACAAAAATAATGTATATAATAGAATCAATTTAAACTAAAACACTTATATAGAGCGAAAAAGTCCCAAATATTTTAATTTGGCCAAATTGGTCTGCCCTAAATAGCAAATCTCAAGGGCAAATAAGTACTTTAGAAAGGTTTTTCCACCACTTGCTAAAAAACCTTCAAACAAGGCATCACATTTTAACTGCAAATGAGTACTTTACCAAGGTTTTCCACCACTTACAAACTTTCCAACAAGGCATCACATTTCAAAGCAAATGAGTACTTTAGCGAGGTTTTTCACCATTTGCTTACAAACCTTCAAACAAGGCATCACATTTCAACTGCAAATGAGTACTTTAGCGAGACTTTTCACACTTGCTAACAAACCTTCAAACAAGGCATCACTTTTGCCCATATATCCTTATTTTTAAATTTTCTTAACCCTTTGACGGGTGTGTTGAAAAGTAAAAATTAAACATTTTTGTATGAGTTAAATTTTAAAAAGAGTCTAATTCTATATCTTTGCCATTTGATTTTAACATAAAAAAACTCACAATAATAATTGAAAATTGGGAAAAAAAATTAGTTGCAATAGAAGTTTTTTATTGGCTGAATTTTTCTCATCAAAAGATAGACTTTTCTATATAAGATTTTAATTTTCAGCCATTTGGTTGATAGCAATAAAGTTGAAAGCAATTGAAAATGAACGAAGAGGAAGTGATAGGTCTAATTTGATGAAGTCTTTGCATTATTTTGAATATGCAAAATGTTATTACCTTGTCTTTTGGGCAATGCAAAAATCCACACATCACGAGATTGACGTTTTAGGAAAACTTGGCATGACAAAGATTTTATATTGCTAATATTATATAATATATATATATATATATTTGTGTGTGTGTGTGTTACATAAAAGAGGTTAGATTACAATTTCTTAGTCCCATGAAGATCTTCTAGCTTAGTTCTTATTTTTTTCTTTTCTCAATTTTTAGTCAATTCTTTTAGTCAATGCTTTCGTGCCAGTATTAAAATTAACTCTTGGTATGTCAAATCATCACAGGATAAAACCCTAACCAAAACACTTATGTGGAGTTCGGTGATGTTTATTTTTGTTTTTAGTTATATTTATTAAAAAAACAAAATAGTGAAATGAAATAAGTAGGAGAGTAGGAATGTCTAAACAAATGCAAAGAATAAATTTTAGATTTTCAATAATTTTATTAATTACAATAATAAGTATAATACTTTTAATGGGTTGCATATAATTTACAAAATAAACTTTTAAAAAATTGATAACATAAATAAAAATGTATTGAGTTACAAATGATATTAATTAAGAGTCAAATTCTTGTGAATTAGTTTATAGGTCAAGTGGTCAATTTAAATGTTATGTTCGACCGTTTTGTAAACTACAATAAGAGTTGAAAGCAATTGAAAACGATTGAATAGAAAATGAGAGGTCTAATTTGACAAAGTCTTTTATATTTATTTAAATGCAGAAATCACTCTTAACCTGATTTATTAAATAATAAATGTTTTATATATCATTCCACTTTTTATAATATAGATATAAATAATTCAAAGTAAAATCATTAATCCAAACAAGAAGCAGAGCAAATCAGTGCCAACTCACACGTTTTTCAAATTTCTCCTCTAAATGATCCCCATGACAATATTATTTAATTTATTATATCAGATGTCATAACCTTTATTATCCATCGATTGATTTCTTTCTTTTTTTTCTTTTGCAAATCTAAATTTTCCTTTGCACTATTTTGCTCTGCTTTGCAATTTGGCAGTGTCTAATAATATTTATGAAAAATTAATAAAAAATGTTTATTTAAATTTTTATCTCACTGGGATTGATTTGCTCCAAACAAAATAAGTAAAAATAAAATAGGTTTTCAAGTGTAAAAAAGAAATTAACTTCTATTTCTTATGAAAGGGGACGTAAAACATAGGTTTAAAGTTTTCTTTCGTTTTAAATTGACAAAAGGAATTGAAATCAAAGTCAAATACACATGGGCTTAAAGGTTTATAACCATATGGAATATGATCTAAATAATCACATGAAATATACAAAAAGATTTTGAAAATTGAAAAAGGAAAAGGATAATGATGAGCAAAAACAAGCTTATTTAGTTATATTTTTTGGCCTCATTTTTCTTGACTTTGTTGACAGCAAATTATTCAATTTTAGCTTGTTGTCTTGACTCTAAAGCCAAGGGTCAAGCATAAGATGGTAGCTTCACCCCTGTGCAAATATATGCATTTGCAATTTTATAAATAGCTCCAATGATATTTACTTAAAACTCATCACTTCTCTACCCAACTACTTCCCTTCATAGCATCTATTAGCAAACCAAGAAACCATGCTCACCTCAAATTCACTCTCCAATCAGTTCTCTTATTCTAGAGTCGTTTTTATCGTTGTTATTCTAATAATACTCATATCCATCTCTTCTTTTAACTCAGCTGCTTCTTTTGCGTCTCTATAGTTAAAAGTACTAAATTTAGAAAGAAAGTCTAAAGAAAAACAGGCCCTGCTCAACTGGAAAGCTAGCCTCCAAAACCAAAGCCAATCTTGCCTCTTATCATGGGCTAGAACCACCACTGTAGTTGGAACGGAATTTCCTGCAACAAGGCTGGCCATGTGAAAGGTATTAAACTCACAGGCTATGGTTTGAGAGGCACGCTTTCAAGTCTAAGCTTTTGTTCTTTTCCTCAACTTATTAGCATTGACCTCACAAATAATTCAATCTATGGACTCATTCCTCCCCATATTGGTAATAGTTCAAGACTCACTTATCTCCAATTGCAGCAAAATCTTCTTTTAGGGGCAATTCCACAAGAAATAGGGAAGCTAAAATCCCTCGTTGATCTTGAACTTTTTGATAACAATCTCATAGGTCCCATTCCAACTTCTTTAGCTGAATTGCGCAACCTCAAAACTCTTTACCTTTGGGGTAATGAACTCTCTGGATCTCTTTCACAAGAAATGGGAATGCTAAAATCTCTCATAGATCTTGCACTTTTTGATAACAATCTCATGGGTCCCATTCCAACTTCTTTAGTTGAATTGCACAACCTTGAAACTCTTTACCTTTCGGTAATGAACTCTTTGGATCTCTTCCATAAGAAATTGGAATGCTAAAATCTCTCATTGATCTTGAACTTTTTGATAACAATCTCACGGGTCCATTCCAACTTCTTTAGCTGAATTGCGCAACCTTCAAACTCTTTACCTTTCGGGAAATGAACTCTTTGGATCTCTTCACAAGAAATTGGATTGCTAAAGTCTTTTGATCTTTCAAACAATAGTCTCACAGGTCCTATTTTAACTTTTTTAGCTAAATTGTGCAACCTCAAAACTCTTTACCTTTCAGGTAATGAACTCTCTAGATCTATTCACAAGAAATTGGAATGTTAAAGTCTCTCATTGATCTTGAACTTTTTGATAACAATCTCACAAGTCCCATTCCAACTTTTTTAGTTGAATTGTGCAACCTCGAAACTCTTTGCCTTTGGGGTAATGAACTCTCTGGATCTCTTTCACAAGAAAATTGGAATGCTAAAGTCTCTCATTGATCTTGAACTTTTTGATAACAATCTCACGGGTCTCATTCCAACTTCTTTAGCTGAATTGCACAACCTTCAAGCTCTTACCTTTCGGGAAATGAACTCTTCGGATCTCTTCCACAAGAAATTGGAATGCTAAAGTCTCTTATCATTCTTGATCTTTCAAACACCTATCTCACAGGTCCCATTCCAACTTCTTTAGCTAAATTGTGCAACCTCAAAGCTCTTTACCTTTTGAGTAATGAACTTTCTGAATCTATTTCACAAGAAATTATAATGCTAAAGTCTCTTATTGATCTTGATCTTTCAAACAATAGTCTCACATGTCCCATTCCAACTTTTTTGTTGAATTGCACAACTTCAAAACTCTTTACCTTTTGGGTAATGAACTCTTTGGATCTATTCCACAAGAAATTGGAATGCTGAAGTCCCTCACTGATCTTGAACTTTCAAATAACAATCTTACAGGTCCTATTCGAACTTCTTTATGTAAGTTGGCCAACCTCAAAACTCTTCACTTTTGGGGTAATCAACTCTTTGGACCTATTCTACACGAAATTGGAATGTTGAGGTCTCTCACTGATCTTAGTCTTTCAAGAACCAATCTCATAGGGCCCATTCCAAGTTCTTTAGCTAAATTGGGCAATCTTAAAATCCTTTACCTTTCTAACAATCGACTCTCTGGACCTATTCCATATGAAATTGGAATGATAAAGTCTCTCATTTATCTTGAACTTTCAAATAATAGTCTCTTGGTCCCATTCCAACTTCTTTGTTCGAATTGGGCAACCTAAAAACTCTTTATCTTAATTCTAATCTTCTCTTTGGATTTATTTGTTGTAAGAAATTAGAATGCTAAATCTCTCATTAATCTTGAACTTCAACACAATAGACTGACAGGTTCCTTTCCAAATTCTTTAAGGGAATAATGTAACCTTGCAACTCCTTGCCTTAAGAGTAATCCATAATTACGTGATTATTTGGTGGGAACTTAATAATCAAATTATTTTTTACTTTTGGGGTTTTTGGAGATGTTTAGGTGAGGAAATTAATGGGCCATGAGAAACAGATTAAAAACAAGGGCTAGGTTTGGCAAAGGGAAGACTTTGGGGATCAAATTAAATAAATAGAAAAATAGTGTGTAAAAACAAGCTCTTGCTTTAGAACCATCTTCTTCTTTTGTAAACTCCTAGTCGACATCCTACCCAGGTAGCCTAATCTCCCTATCTATGCCTTTTTGTTCTCTCATCGATGTTTTCTCTCTCCTCTAATTGCGATTGAGGCCGTTGCTTCTTTTACCTCCATTGGCCAGATCTTTTCCCTTATCAACTCCTGTCTATTTTGGTTGCCATTGCCATCTATATTGCTCGATCTTTCATTTCCTTAATAAAATCAACATTGACAATCATTATTTCTAGCTTATTTTTGACACCAACAGCAAAGTCAACTACCATCGCTACGCAGTCCTTCTCTCTCTCTCTCTCTCTCTCTCTTCTATTGGTTTACTGTCAGTGCCAACCATTCCACAACACAATCCCAATCTCAGTGAGATCCCCTCCTTCTCCTTCTCTTTTTCTCTTTTTTTTCCTTTTTTCATCTTCTTTCTACTGCTTGTGGTCTCATAGTTGGGTTTTTCCTTGTTGCCTCCATTGCTAATTAGAGTTGTAGGGCAGTTGCAGTTCATCCCATTGATGCCTAAACTCCCCCCTTGACTTAGGTAAGTCCTTCTTCTGTTAAACCTTTGAGTGTGTTCTTCAATTTCAATTCTACCACTACTTTTCTTTTTGTTTAGTTTGTGGTTCCTACATCCCTGTTCTTCTCCTACTGCTTTCCCTTTATATTGTTTGGTCAGGTTCTCTCTTTTGTTTCCCCTCTATTAAGTTTTTACTATGTTATTAGTTATGATTCTTGCCAAATTGTTGTTGTTGCTTCTCTATTGGTGCAATGGCTTCGACTTTACTTTATTCAGCTAATACTAGTTTTGTTTCACTTCTATATGTTAATGCTGCATCCATTTGGCTTCTTTGGTTGCTATCATGTTTCTTCTCTAATTTTGCTTTCCTTATTTGCACATTTGTAATTTAGTGGTTTTCAATCTAAGGTTAAGTGAGTAATTGAATTTAGGGATTGTTGTGGTTGGAATCCATAGTGTGCCTTTGTTGTTTTATGGTTTTAAGTTTTCGAGTACTGAGTATGTATAATGATGCTTTATTTGTAATACTAGGTCTATTGGGAACTTCTTCTGTTGGTACTATCAACTCTATGGCATCACAGACCTGATTCTTTGGTTTAAACTAAATAGCCAATGTTGACTTGTTTTCAAGTTATATTCAGTGTTTTCATATTTCATTATATATGCATTTATTGAAATATTTCAAATGTTTTTAAGACATTTTTATTCTTAAAGTTCAATAAAACCTTGGGACAAGCAGGTTAGAATTTTTTTCTTTTGGGTATATATGAACTAAACTTTGAAATATATGCTAAAAGAGTTTTTAAGAGAGGATACTTTGATAGAACGTTATAGCCAACAATAGTAAACAATAGCCTTGTTGCACCTTGATTTATATCTTAACTAATACAGGTGCTTTTAGCTCGGTGTGTTTGGCTTACACATATGGGTATGTTCTGTTACCTTTGGTTGATGTTATCTTTCATGGTTTTGATCACCTTATGGTTCTGATACACTAATATTTTGGTTCTAGATTAAGATCTCCCCAATCTGTATTAAAAAAATGGTTACTTAAATATTTTTTTATATATACTCGTTTGCAATATTTGATCAAAGTTGATGTTGTACATATATTTTGGATAAATGTCGAAAAGATTTTGTTAAAACATTGCTTGTCCATATTTGTGATAGATATATATTATCACTCACTAGATCTCACAACTCACTCCCTCTAACTTTCTTTCCAGGTTTAGGTTCATCTACCTGATAAAGGAGTCTTACCTTTAGCAAGCCCAATCTTTGCATATGTGTGGGAGTCTCCTTGTAGATATGTATTACGTTTTCCTAGTTCATGTTAGTTTGTCTAGTTTATAGAGTTGATCCATTATCTACAGTAGAATCTCATTTTCCTTGCGTGGTGTAGAGTTTATGTATTGTTATATTAAAGTGTTAAGTGTAGATGCATAATTATTGTTTAATACATTTATAACAACCTAAGATCATTGCTAGATGCTTATTCTACTATTTAAACATGTCATGAATTATCGTGCTAATGGATTCTTGAGATGCTTTATTTATTTATTTATTTATTTTGCAGTAGCACTCTACTTTTCAGTGAAATTATGGCTGCTAGAAAAGAGGTTGATCTACCACTCAAGGACAAAGCAAAACCTTTTGAACCCATGGGGTAGATGAATATGAGCCACTTGTAGCCCAGATTTGTAAAGCATTTAGGGCAATCTATGAATTTGATTTTCTCCAAGTCATTGTAGAAAAGGTCCCAAATCACATCAAGAGGACTAGCCTCCTCTAGTGAAAGTAGAATATAGATCTTGGAGAAACTATGATCATGCTTTATAGCCTCCTCTCTCAAGTTAAAATGAGAAATTCTAGATAGACTTGGTTAGAACAATTGTTGCTTATGTATTCAACCACTCCTCAAGTAATGTTTTTTTGCTCTATGTTTTTTGTTTGGAAGTACTTCATTATGATTTCAAAATTAAGAATTGACAAGGCATTGACTAGTGGGTGGGGTCATTTTTAGCTAGACTACTTTTCAAATTTTTGTGGTGATTGGAATATGTAACTAATTACCTTTCTTTTTCGTGAAGTAGCCTATTTTTTGGGAGGTTCAGCAATACGATTTGTATAGGACCTATTAATTGGAACAAACTGATTGATTTTTCACTTCTTCAAATCTTGTAACTTGATTACTCATGATAGTCAAGAGTAGAGAGCGCCCACTTAATGTATCAACCACCACTTTGGATTCTCCAATTTTGTATTAATTATAAAGTTATACTCATCAAGAAAAGAACTCCACTTAGCATGATGCTCATGAAGCCTTCTCTTGGAACTTAGATAGCACAATGCTTGGTAGTTCAAATAAACAACATACTCCCAATAAGTACTACAAGAAAATACACTTTTTGTAATGAAAATTTTAGTTACTATAAAGCCCATTACTATGACTTTTAGTGCTTGAAAGCCCGTCACAATATGTATTTGTAATAAAATTAAGACTTATTACTGATATTTTAGTAATAAAACTAGGTTGGTTACAATATAAGGATAATTGGTAACTAATTTTTGTGCAACAAAAAATAAGTTTTTTGTTACACAAAATTGTAAAATTTGTTACTATAATCTTCTCTACTAAAAAGCCTGTCACAAAATGTTTTTGTAACAAAAAATTTGGCTTCATTACAACTACTCTAGTAACAAAGTTAAAGGATTACTAACTACTTTTCTCATGACAAAAGATAAATTTTGGTAATAAAAGATTTATGATTTCATTTTTATAAGATTTTGTGCTAAAAAGCCGGTCGCAAAATATTTGTATAATAAAATTTTACTTTATTTTAAAGATACTATAGTAACGAATCTTTATAACTAATAACTAATTTATTTGTTACAAAAGAAAATGTTTATTTCATTTTCAAACTCTTTTCGAATTAATATCATAACAGAAGCAAAATAATCCATTAAACAAATGGCTAAAGGCAAGCACAAAGTTAAAAAATACTTTGGATAATGAGTAGCATCTGAAAAGTACAACCTATGCTAAAGAATGTCATTTGGACTTGTTTCAAATGCATACTACACATAGACATTAGTAATTAAACACATATGCCAGTACAAATCATATCAAAAAATATATACGTACAAAATATATGGCAACTCCTACAACAATAAATTAAAAGATCTTCATGCATCCTCATATTTGGAAGAGATGGAATCTCCATGAGTTTGGACCAGTTGCCAAAGGAGAAAAAAATACTAAATGAGGACTGAAGTCATAATTGCAAATTTTTTAAACGAAAGAAAAAAAAAAAAGGAAAGAAGACATCAATTGGAGTTGATGAAATTTGTCCATTGCATATGTAACCAAATATAACTTCAATGCTTGTTATGAAGATAGCAAACAAGAACCGTTGCATAGCTAAAATTAATCACACGACTGGCATAGAAAATCATCCATCCCGATATCTTTGACTAAGTAATATTAGAAAATACATTTCACCAATAAATCCAAAAATATTTTTGGTCATTTATTGTCACCACATTAAGTGTGCTCAAATGCATACTCTGTATAAAAGTAAACTAAATTTATAAATAAATAATTATAACAATTCATAGAAGCCCAAAGTGCTGAATAAACATAGCATTATCAATCTTATTTTCTACTCTCACAAAAAAAATGGGTCTCTTCAAAAAACCATCAATCCTATCATTGACAAATAAATTTTTCTTGTGGACACAATAAGTAATTTTGACATTGTGATGATTTTAATTCAAACTTCAATTAAAAAAATTAATAATAAGAGAGAGAAATAATTTTCCTATGGCTTAGAGACATTTCTCAAACTCAATTATTTAGTAATGGTTCTAAAGAACAGGAAATTAAAAGAAGCTACCATTGCTGTCTAAATACTATTTATGTCTAAGAATAGAAATTATCTGAGACATTAATGGTTACAGCAGGTTGATCCGAACGTGTTTCCACACATGAACAATTCATAGCCAGCTTTATCAAAGGATGATAAAATTGTTAGTTAGAACATCATGTATTTTCACACGCACATTTCTTAATGAGATTTTTAACTTGATCTTCCAAACTGCAGAAATTGATAAATCCATATTATAATTTTTGATTGAAAGCTTCATCCCCAATTAACAAACATTAATATATATAAAAAAAAACTTTATCTTAAAAATGCAATTAGCTTCCACCGTTTGTTTGGACCTTGACATGATCACTCATACTTTGCCACAAGATCATCAAGAATGTTCATAAAAAAGTTACAACCATATTATATTACAAAAGTAAAAAAAAAAAAAAAAAAACTTGCACACTAGATCTGTTACAAACTCTTCAAACCATTATATCGTGCCAAAGAAATGTTCAACCAAGGCTCAATTGAGAAGCGGATATTTTAGCAAATAGTTAACTAATACTAGGGACCAAAAAAGAAAAAATCGCAGATGTTCTCTAGAAAAATAGTAAACTAATATTTAGGTTCTGGACGTTCTCTATGGTTTAAAATTATAAGAAACTTCAGATCAATAAGAGTATTTCATGTATGGCTTAAAGAAATTAATAAAATCTTCAAACATGCCACTAGAGTTAAATTTTATGGCCATAATATTATAAAGCAAACACATTAAACAACAAAAGCCATCTACGCATCCCACAGTGGCATTAATTAGCTCTCACTTAAAGTGATAGGCTCCTCATCAATAAAGTTACTAGTGATGTGGAACAAAGTGCACCGTTGCTAGCTCAAATACATTGTTCTTTTTCATCTTTATATTGTTAACCTTCACCATATGTGTTCTGAAATTGAATAGGTTATTACTTGTGTAAATCAACAGCTCCAATATCTTCCAGAAAACAAAGCGTTCACTGTACATGAATTTCCTAAATAAGAATGAAGATAGATCAATTGATAATATAACTGTAAATATTAAACTGAAATTTTCACGAAAAAGAACAGGAAAATATACTTTGTGAGGGGATTCCATTATAAATCTACTGTGTTTTGACAGACAAGAATGGTTCCTTGTTGGAAGAAAGTGACCAACATGGAAATGCATTTAAAGGTAAACCAAATAATCTATTGCAACTAAGTCAATATAAAAGGAATGCAATCATCTTAGTTAATCAGCTTCAAGGCCAAAGAAACTACGACTTCCAAAAAATTTGCATGTAGATTCATCAGTAAAGGCTAGTCATTACGTACCAATGTATTGGTGCAAAATATGAAGATGGCAAGTTGATCAATATCAATTATGAAGCCCAGTGAAATCTCGCCCTTGTCTATAGATCGAGCTGCTAATCTCTGGATATACAAAATTCCTTAGCTTGAAGCTGAAAAAGTGACTTTCCAGATGGAAGTCCAATATCTACAATGAAGGATAAAAAGATGACAAGTTTTAGAATCTCTACCAAAGTAGAAAGGACAAAAGAGGTCACTTTAAAGTAAAAATAATTAAAAATTTATCTCTGATGTACAAAGAAACCAACAGTAAATCACGATCCTTCTCTTATGTGTTAAACTCTACTAACGAGACCTGCTTTTACCACATTTAATGTAAGTACCTATGCAATACATGATCGCCATAAAATACATTTATTATGCTAAATATAACGGAATGTGTGAGGTTTACATTACTTAATGACAATTGGAAAATTAATTTAAGAGAGTCAACATACAGAGGTTCCTTGCAAAGTAGGAAACATCATGGCCCAAAGACAACCTTCTCATACAATGATTATACGGTGAATATATAGTGGATATACCTTGGTACTTTAGGCATGACTTCATAAATCGGAAATTTCTTTTTCCTCTTTAAAGGAGAAATAAGCTTCTGAACTTCCAGACTTACTCAATGGAGTTTCTTGCAGTCGATACTCCAACTTCCGAGTTTGACTTAAAAAGAAAAAGAAAAAGAAAGAAAAGAAAATAGAGAAACAGATTAAGTGCAGTTCAATATTTTGGTCTGACTATAC